TGGTAGCGAGGAAGAAAACAATGTGGAAACACAGCTGACTCCTAATAGACATATGAGCAAAATACACTTGCACTGTTTTAAAACACTTGTATTTTGGGTTATCTCAGTATGACATAAACCATCCTTCCTGATAGTCAGTGCAATTGGTGGAAAGAAAGCCAGAGGGAGGGGGCAGCTGAGATCTAAGGGAAAGGTGGGCCCAGATCACGCAGAGCCTTGTCAAACATTTGATTTCATTCTGTGTGAAGGAAAACCTTTGGGAGGCTCTGAGCAGGGGAATGACATGTGATTGGCATTTTTAAAGAATCACTTAATCATGTTTGAGTCTTTGTTCAGAGAAATGCACATTGAGGCATTGAGGGATAAAGTACAATGATGTCTACAACATACCTTCAAGTGGTTCAGTAGGACGTGTGTTCATGAGTGTGCACATGTGTACACACAAGGGGCAGACGTTAATTGGCGAATCTAAACGAAGGGTATGTAGGTGTTCACTGCATTCTTTCAACTTTTTTGTGCGTTTAAAAATTTTCAAATTAAGCGAGAGAACTACAAGGTAGAAAGCAGCAGAGACCACGGGAGTCTGCTGCAGGCAGGAGACGTTGTGGTGTGGGCAGGAGTGGTAGTGATGAGAAATGGGTAGGCTGTGGGATATGAAGAAAAGAGGAGTCAATGTGTCTCTCAGCTTTCTGTCCTGAGCAAGTGGGAGGATGGTGATGCCAGTAACCGAGAAGGGACAGGGGAAGAGCCAGGGTTAGGAAGTGGGAAATAGCAATTTTTGGGGACATGTTAAGGGTGAGCATCCCAGTGGAGACTGAACTGGCAGCTGGATGAGTTGAGAATTCAGAGGTCTAGGTTGGAGATATTTGAAATTATCAGCATCCAGTGGCATCCAAGCTGTGAAACTCGGAGGACCTCCTAGGAAGCAAGAGTAGATAGAGACAGTCGGAGTGTGCATGGGAAATTGGAATATGAACACGCCAAAAAGAGAACCATGCAGCTCATTTTTTCTCAGACTCCATGCCTACTAAGCAGGCATCTGATGATGACTTGGTTTCCCAATAGGTCCACCGTACAGGAAAGACTAGTCATATGGACTTGGAATATTCTAATTCCTGGGATAGTTCTCACTGTAAGTAAGTTGGTCATACTCACAAGCTTGGCTTTAGTCAGCCTGAGGCAGAACCAAAACAGTGTGCTAATAAAAATGTGATGGTGAGTCTGCATGAGGGAGAGCCAGACTACGGATGGTGGAAATTCCCAAAGGCAATGAATGCTACAGTGATCGCTGGCACTCCTCCTCGGCTCACATGTCTTTACAGTCTGCCAGAGATGACGTTCCCACATTTCCAGAACTAGTGAGGAAACCCCAAGCCAGGTATAGCTAAGAGAATATTCCCTTTTGGTTGTATCTCTTTTATTATGAGTTCTACTTGTCATGGTGTCTCCCACACAGTTTTTCTTCCAGCAGAAGAAAACCTTGTCTTTCCTTAGCTCAGGGTCCTTATTACTGTTTCTATTTGGGGAGCATTCTCTATGTGCTTGCTCTATATCTGTTTTTTAAATTTTATTTCATTTTTGAATAGTTAGCACTCAAATGGGTCAGAAATAAAAATGACACCGAGAGCTCCTTCCCTCTCCTCTCAGCCCATGTTACCTTGTATCACTGCCTGTCCCTTTTTGTGTATTTATCATGAACTCAGGCTGTCACCAATCCTTTGCTATTACAAAGTTTCAATGAGTAACTAAGTATGTGTACAGTATATACACATACCTGCTTGTATATTGGTGAGCTGTAGGTTTTGTCTTCTCTGCTCAGCTAATATGGTGGGAAAGACATTCTACTCCTTTTGGAAGAGAATGAGCAATTTCAGATAAACATTCAAACTCAAATTGTATTCCTCTTTCCCATCTCTTCAAGTTTGAAACGTGGATACTGTGACATTTTTTGTCTCACATGATTCAATAGCCCTCCTGGCTGAAGCAGTTCAAGGATGTTCAAGTTCAGTTATTTAATGCCTATTGTTTTGAAAATAAAAATGGCTTGTGCTGGCACAATCAGAAAAATAAGAAGGTCCATAAAGGTTATTGAAGAAAATGTGTTTGTGGGAAGTGGACTGACATGCAACTTCAGAAAACTATAAAAAACTCAGCCAAGAAGTTAATGCATATTTGTCTTCTTTTGCCCTCCCACAGTGTAGCAGATTGTATTTTCCAAAGATAGAGGCTGCCTCAAGATAGCCCATCCCACATGCTCTTCTTACAATGTGACATTGACATCTTCTGATTGAGTGGTGGGCCTACGATCTCCTTTCCCGAACCTCGCTGACCTTTATGACTACTCAACAAATAGAATACAGTGACAGTTGTCCAGTTAGTCCCCGTCAACCCCAGAACCGTGACAAGTAATATTATGATTCAAATCTGCTAAGTTTTGGGAATATGCATTCTATAGTAGTAAAAAATAGGAACATGATGTTGACTTTAAATTGTCTCTACATTTTCCTTGGTTTTGATTCTTTAATTTCTTTATAACCTCATCCATGGGGCTCAAATGCCTAATTCAGTCAACAAGCAGGTTCTCAACAGATATTTATTGAATATCTATTATGTGCAAAATATTAGACCAGGGGCCAAACATACAAACATTCAGTCCCAGCTTACAAAAGGGTTCCTTAACTAGTGACTTTATAACTATTAGATGCTTACCAGATAAAACGCACTGGGCATGTCTACAAAAGCCTTTAAATGCCTTCAGTGATAGAGGAATGTTTAAGACAACAACAAAATAAAGCAAAATGATCTAATAGGCAAATTTAAAAAAAACAACTGAAGTCTGTAGCAATTTAAAAGTATATTCACTGAATTATGAATTCAGTACAAGAAACAGAGCTAATTTATTCTCTGCAAAGTCACAGAAATAAGGCATCTTATAGCATATATATATATATGTATGTGTATATATATATATATATGTATGTATTTATATATATATATATATGTATGCAGATAGATGCGTTATAATTGTGGCGTTGGAGAGAATATGTTAGGTTATGTTGCTTGGAGTGTATGACTAAGTGAGTGTATATCCGTGATTTTTGAGACAGACGTAGTCACGAATTTTAAAACAAAATATCTTGAGAAAATAAACATATACAAAGCATAAAAACATGCTTGTTCAATGAAACCAAGAAAACATAGATTCATAACTATCTCTTTCCTAACTTTCAGATTTGTGTAAGATATTCTGGAAGTAGGTTGTAAGACTTTTTCTACTGGGGTCTGCACTTCTGAGTGGATTACAGTATAACATGTATTCTAATATGGCGCTATAAAGCCAGATTTTCTCTAGTCCTCTCCAGAGGCTGAGGGAAGAATTCCCAAGATAACTCATATGTGACTGTATTAAACTCCATTCAAAAAGCATTCCAACATTCATAGACTCTCTAATCTGTTTCTAAGTATGCCCAAAAATAGCACTGATTTAAAAA